TTAATAATTATTTTTAGACATATTTACTAAATATGTAACGTGATTAACAACTTGCGAAATAAAATTGACTATTTCTATAATGCTTTTTGCAACTTGTTGCTGGCTATTTCCAAACAATTTTACTAAACATGTAACGTGATTAACAATTTACAAAATGAATTTAGCAATTTTCATAATGTGTTTGTAAGCTATTATTAGTCATTTTCAGATGTGGTGCGATTTGAGAGGTTGAGTTAAACAAATTGATTAGACATGTAACATGAATGACAACATGAGAAATGTATTTGACTATTTTTATACTATTAACTTGATTAATTTTCACCAAATATAACCTCTTGAAGGAATTAAAAAAGGGTTAACTGTTTTGAGAAATTAGTATATAGTTTACAAGTACACCTGAAATACATCAAAATAAATATGTTGATAGTAACTTCCATAATTTATTACACTTGCAATGAAATTGATTACTAACACGATAGTATTTATCAAAAACTAGTAACTCTATACCAGCAACAACATTACACATGTTCAAATACCGAGTTAACATTAAGATTAAACTTGGATCTAATGATTTCTTATCATTGAAACTACATAACATATTTCATTCACTGTACATCACCTACAACAAAAGCCAAAAACCAAAAGATTCTATGAATGACATTTAGTTGCATATGGGCTATATAAACGTAGCCTTCATTCTTCATGACAAGATACATAAAGCCACAATCATCATTATTCACAAAAGTAGCGCAGTTATCGGCAGAGGTGGGAAAGGGGAAATAGGAGGCCCAAGGTATAGACGTGTTTTTCGAGTAGCATGAGGAAGCTAGAAAAATAAAGAAGCATCCTACTGCATGAGTGAAAAATGGCAACACAAGAAACATTGAGATAAGCGAAATAGGGAACACAATCAACAGATAAACCAGAGTTGGAAGTTCGGAGACAAACAATTTGGAAATAAGGAGATCTGTAATTGCTATTAAGGAGAAGGGCATTGAAAGAAGAGAGGAGCTCTCTCTGATTTTGCAACTTAAGCCCTTGCTTGGATTGAGAAAAATTAGGGAGGAAAAAAAACTAAAGAAGAAAATATGGGGAGAAACAAGTTTTTTCTTACTTGACTAGGAGGAAGGAAAAGTAGAAGAGAAAATAAAGTGGGTCTCATACCTCATTTTCTCTTCAAATTTTCTCTCCATATATGGAGAGATTTGGAAAGAAAAATAAGATTTTCATGACTGTCCCTCCTCTCTCTTCCTTTTCATATTTATTTTGCCCATCCTCTCTCTTCCTCTCCATATTTATTTTCTTTTATTATATTTAAAAATTTATTCACTTTTTTTTTATCTTAAAACAATATTTTTATTAAATAATTTGGTTTTAAAATAAAATAATCTAAAATATATATAAACCCAATAACTTCATTTTAAATTATTCGATGATGTTAATATTAGTATAATTTTTCTATTACAATATTTAATTTAATTTAATTTAATTTTAAATATGATATACTCTTCCGGTCCTTAATATAGGACCTAATTGTTGAGTTATTTTTTATCCTAACTATAAGACCAATTTATCATATTTATCAATTTTTTCTAAATTATCCCTATGAATACTTCATCAACCATAATCAAGTAGAAGAGGGAGATGGGATATTAAGAAAGATGATTATGGTGTTTTAGAAAAAATGTGTCACATTTCTTATAATTAACAAACTTACCTAACTTCTCTAATCTAATCAAATTAGTTAAATGGGTCTTATATTAAGGATCGGAAGAGTATCTTGATAAGGACATTTTAGTCATTTAGATACTTGCTAATTTTCTTTCCTCTTTACGCTCTCTCATCTGTTCAAGCAAGAGGGATGATAACATCTTCCCTCTGGTTTTTCTTTCTTTTTATTTTTTTCCTCTCAACTTTTCTTTTCATCCAAGTAAAGCATAAGGGAAAGAGATGAGAAAAAATAAATGAGAGAAAGGACATGAAAGTAATTTGTCAAAATTCACAAATCCCAATTTAATACTTGCAGACTTATTTATCCTTTGTGAAATTGGAATGACTAATTTAAAATTTATGAATTCAAATAATATTTATATGAGATTTTTTCAACCAAAAAAAAAAAAGAAATGATGGTAAGTGCCTTTAACAAACACAGGAACGGTGATTTAATCGGGAATACACAACCCAATTAGATTGCAGCCACATTTTATATATCAAAGGCTGTAACATTATCAATCGATTGGATTTAATAAAATAAGTTAGTCTTTTTTTTTTGAGTAGGATGTTATCGCTAACTCAGGGTATCCCAGCGTATCAGCCAGACTAATCCTAGGGTGCCTCACCAGGAATCGAGCCCATGACCCGATAAGAGAACGCGCCTTACGCCCCGTTTGCGACCAGTCGGACCCAACCCTTGCAGGCAAATAAGTTAGTCTTTCACAACATGATAAACTAATACTTAAAGAGGTGGCCTCCAATAAAATGATACTCATCTGTAGTGTGTGTATAAAAGAGCTGTATCGCTGTTTAAGTTCTTGTAACTTTTGAGGTGAAACTAGCCTCATCATGTTGCTCTTATTTTTGAAGAGAGAGAGAGAGAAGGAAAAAAAAAGAGAAGCCCAAGTCTTCGTCTTCATCGACAGTGCGCGCGCTTCAAGCGAATTAATTAAGCCCGGCGCCAAAAAAAAAAAAAAACTAAGGCATTTGGTGGTTTCGATTTCTGGCCCCTTCACGCTTGATATTCTTTCTATTCTTCCAAGTTTTATTATAAAATGGGATGGATTGGTTGAACTGGTAAAAAAAGCCGGTCTTTCATTTAAACCGATCAGAATATAAGATCAATCTGAATTATTCAAGATTAACCTAGTGCAACCCAATCAGACTGATGGATTCCATTATACTCTTGAATTTCATATAATTTTTTCTCTGCTGTCTAAAATAAACTCGTTTTGAATTAAGATAATGATAATATATCATATTTATAGTTTAGCAATTTTATCTTGTTAAATTATGTAGTATAATTTACGCATAAATGCTATATTTACTCATATATTTTCTTAAATGTTACTACTATCAAATGATCAATAATTAATACTTTAAAATAAAATAAAAAAGAAAAAGGAAAAGAAACACCAAAAGCACTTTTGGAGCTCAAACCATGGTTTTAGGATTTAGGTTGCCAAACACCCCACATTTTTATAAAACCATGGTTTGGCTCCAAAATCATGGTTTGACCAACCCAAACCATGGTTTCATGAAAAGCAAAAAAAAAAAGTTGTTTTTTGAAAATGTGGTCCTTTTCTTTACATTGTAACATTGCCTCTAGTCTTTAATATAAGAGAGTTAACTAATACGAGTAGATTAAAAAATTTAGTTAAGTTAATTATTTGTAATAAATAGATATTATTTTTTTTCTAAAATACTCTTTCTAATTATATGCACTAACTAGAAGTATCATTTGATGAAATATTTAACATATGTAACTACTACAATGACTATTTTAGAAAAAATAGATAAATATGAGAAATAAAAAAGGTTAGGGTTTTATATTTAGAACTAAATTGAATATCAAAATAGCTCTTGTATTAAAAATTAGAAGTCATATGTTGTTAAAAAAACTAGCGGTAAAAAAAAGTTATGGAGTTTAATGGTTAAAATCTTTAAGAAAAAAATATTTTTCAATTGGCAAAAAAAAAAAATCATTTTTATGAAAACATATTTAATTCTATATTTTATAAATACATACACACATTAATTATATTATTTATTATGTTGGCAAAAAAAATGTATTATTAACAAATTTATTACTTCAAATAAAAATATATTATAAAATCTATTCTTTATGTAATTATCATATTAACATATATTTTTTTAGTAATTTGTATATATGAAAAGTACTTCTAATAACAACTATCCAAACACTTTTATTTTATTAAAATTATTTTTTTATGAAATCTATTCTTTTAAAATCTGTACTTAAAAATTATTTTTTTCAGAAGCTATTCTCTAAATTATAATTTGGTTTTATTCAGATACTTTTTAAATGTGATATCTTCTCTAGCAATGATTCAAATCTTAATTCATTGTATTACGAAAAATAAACCCCGATCCCCCTTACTAGCAGGGCGCTCTCTGGTGTCATTGACTATTGAGTTTGGCTGCGCGGGTGGCCGCGTGGGTAGGTGGGGGTGACACCTGGGAGAGTCCAAATGTGAGGGCTGGTCAATTGATATTACGTGGTATCGCTAGGGCCCACCGGCCCCGTGCACAGTCCACCTTCCCACGCCAAAAACATCCCAGTGGACGAAAATACCCCTTCTTCCCCTCTGTATTTTTTCTTCCATCTTTCTCCTCTATGATTATTATTATACTCTCAATCATTTCGCCTTAATCATCAAAATGAGCATATAAAATAGGAGAGTATGGTATGTTAGAGAAAAGAAGAAGAAGAAGAAGAAATTTTTTGGAAAAAATTAACGATATTAAAGTGAAGTATTTTACTATTAAAAAGAACTTTTGGCTTCTAATATATCTAAAAAGAGCTCCTGCATTTTTTTTTCTTATCACAATTCACAACTAAAAAGACGTGTTTAATTAAAAGTATTTTAAATTAATTAAAAATAAAATCATGGATCAGAGGCTTATAAGGGGAATGACAAATAAAAATCTTAAAATTATTAATTTCTAAATTAAGATTCATTGCCATATTTTAACACATTTTAACAATATTTGAATTACAAATATTTCATGATTTTTTTTGTCATTTTCTCAACTCATAAATCGTTTGGTATTTAGTGTTTGTTGTACGACAGGATCTCTCTAATTTGCGTTTCTATATGACGGCAGAACCTGGAATGTGAAAAAGACAGGAGGATCAAAAAGAAGACAAACCGAAGGATGGACAAGATGGTCATTTTCATCTAAGGCACTGTTTGTTGTTTGGTATTGCCGCATGTTCATTGTCTTATTACAGCCTCAATTTTGGTCTGCGGAGTGCCCGAGGAAACAAACAAACCCGCGGCAGCGTTGTTCTCTTAACTCTTCCCATTAGCATTAGCCTCTCAGAAATCTTCGCAAAATCTCAACCTACACACTCACTCTCGCTTCCTCTTCCACCTCTGTGTCTCCTTCCTCGACGCTATGGCCTCTGCCACTTTTGCTAACCTCAACTCTCTCTCCTCACAGTGGATCGGCCAGCCCTCATCCTTCTCTTCCCGCGCGGGATCCTCCATTCGCTTGGCTACTCGTCGTGCCTCCGTCCCGATCCGCGCCTCCTACACCGACCAACTCATCCAAACCGCTGTTGGTTCCCTCTTCACCCTCCTTCTACTTCTTCTGATTTTGGATTGTTGAATTAAGCTTCGGGATTTTGTGGTATTTGGTATGCTTCTTCTTGTTGTTGTTGTTGATCTTGTTCGCGTTGTTTCGGGAACGGTCCATTTTCTTCTGTTCTGATCAAATATTGTCGTTGAATTCAACGTGTTTGGATCAATTTTTAACATGTTTTTCATGCCTCTTCAATTTAAGAAGAGAAAGATTGATGTCTTTTAGTTCTATTGTTTTTTCCCTTGTATCTTAAATTGAAGCTTGTGTGTGATGCTTCTCGCATCTCTTGATACTAGTTTTAAAAAAAAAAAAAAAAATTCTTGCTTCTTTTTCACGTTTTTTCTCTTTTCAAGTGTGTAACTGTTTGCTACGTGTTCTTTTGACTACTAGTTGGATGTTAAACCATATTAGCTTAATGTGGTTTGAGGGACTGAGAGTTTGTCTCCGACGTTAAGGACCAACATACTTGATTTAAATCTTCGGCTAACCTCAGTGACTAGTTTTGAATTTGTTCAACAACCTATTAATTTTATGCTTAGCATGCTATTCTATTGTTGTCGTTATTGGATCTGGTAATGTATGATTGATAGAATGGAAAGCTTCAATCTTTCCTGGAAGATGGTTTGCTTTTGCGTAGATCTAGATTTTAGTCTATGTTATTAGAACAGCATTTGCAGAGCTTGACCAATGAACATTTCCAATTTCCTGACTATGTTTTCTTTCTTGACTGTATAGAAATCTATTGCATCCCCTGGTCGTGGAATCCTGGCTATTGATGAGTCAAATGCAACCTGTGGTAAGAGGTTAGCATCTATTGGATTGGACAACACTGAAACCAATCGCCAAGCCTATAGGCAGCTTTTGCTGACCACTCCTGGCCTTGGTGAATACATTTCTGGTGCTATTCTATTTGAAGAGACCCTTTACCAGTCAACTACAGATGGAAAGAAGTTTGTGGATTGTCTACGTGAGGAGAGGATTGTACCCGGCATCAAGGTTGACAAGGTATGGCATATACGTTCACCTTGACTAATTCTTTGATTTTAATATCTAGAACACGAACTCTGCTCCAGTTGATTACTGACTGATTTAGTAATTATATTTCTGACTTGTGCATTTCAGGGTCTGGTCCCGCTGCCAGGGTCTAACAATGAATCTTGGTGCCAAGGTTTAGATGGATTGGCTTCAAGATCTGCTGAATACTATAAGCAAGGTGCTCGATTTGCAAAGTGGTAAGTCATTCACTACTCCTTTTAAAATTTTAAACAGTCTTAATTTTTTATTATGTTTATGAAATTTTACTGAAGTAAGCGTATCAAATTTGAGTGTGCATGATGGTTTGTTTTGGTTTACACAGGCGAACAGTTGTTAGCATTCCTAGTGGTCCTTCTGCATTAGCTGTCAAAGAAGCTGCATGGGGACTTGCACGATATGCCGCCATCTCTCAGGTATTCATTCACATAAGAACCTTTTTTGGCTGCTGGTATTTTGTTCTTGATTTGCATCTGCATTTTCTTGGCTCTCCTATTTGTATCCACTCTCTCTATTGGGAGGTTCTTTCAGTTGAATGGGCTGAACTGAAGGCCATTGTGGTCTTCTTTTTGACTATGTCACCATGCTATTAAAAGGACAAGATTTTTTTCCCCTGAAGTACAAGATCATTCGTGATTGGGTTGTTTCAAAATTACTTTATTCATTTTGATGGAAGTTATTGTTTCTCATGCATCTTGCTGAGGCTTAAGATGAGTGAATGTAAGAGGTGAAAAAAGTCTCCCCACTTTGTTGGAAGCGTGGGGGGACGTGAGACTAGCAAAATTTGAGGTCTTGAGATTGCCCTGATTGTGTGAAACTTTAATTTCTGAGATTTTGATATTTCTTTCCTTCTTCATACTTCTAGATGTTAACGGTAAGATTCTTCCTACATGGTTAAATTTTATGTTTGATGCTTGAGGTTAGTATATATGCATCACTCTTCTTTACTGTTTTCCCCTGGCAGGGTTTCACTGCAGAGTGTCTTGAATATCACCTCATTTGAATGATCTATAATTCAAAATGCTTGAACCCTATTCAAGCTCTATCACCTTATTTGAATGATCTGTAATTCAAAATGATATAGTCAGTGATGAACATATATATCATTTTATTATTGTCAATTTACTTGATATGTTTTTGTCTGCTTGTATGAATTATATGAATGACTTGTGTGTTTTATTGCCAATGCAGGACAATGGCCTTGTGCCAATTGTAGAGCCTGAAATCCTTCTTGATGGCGACCACCCAATTGAAAGGACGCTGGAAGTAGCAGAGAAGGTTTGGGCCGAAGTTTTCTTCTACTTGGCTGAAAACAATGTTGTGTTTGAGGGAATATTGCTCAAACCTAGCATGGTGACTCCTGGAGCTGAACACAAGGAAAAGGCTTCCCCAGAAACCATCGCTAAATATACACTCACAATGCTCAAAAGAAGAGTTCCACCTGCAGTCCCTGGAATCATGGTACGGCTGTTAAACCTTCTCCTGTGTTTTGGAAAGAAAAAAACAAAAAGTGAAATATTATCTTCCTTCTGCACAAATCTCTTCCTCAGGTTACGAGAATCTAGAGTCCTAAATCACTTATTACAAATGTTTCTATTTTATTCTTGATTCTAGCTGGCTATAATGGTTATAAGTTTAGGGATATTTATTTTGGCAAGCAAAACTATGATGATACTAGCTTCATAGTCAGGATTCTCCCGTTTTTGGCCGGAAAATCATCACCTCAATCTGAATAGTCTACATTTCTTCTTTCATTAAGGATGAAGTAGTTCTCAGAAGATCTGGATCGCTCATATCAATAGTCGGAATTTCCAATGAATGATTGTCATCTTTTCGACATTAGAGTATTTAATTTAGAGATTTGAACTAGAAATTACTTTAACAGAACCATGTAAATATGTTTTGATTTTCTTTTCAGTTTTTGTCCGGTGGGCAATCTGAAGTGGAGGCAACACTAAATCTTAACGCAATGAACCAAAGTCCCAACCCATGGCATGTTTCCTTCTCGTATGCACGTGCACTGCAGAACACAGTACTTAAGACATGGCAAGGGCGGCCAGAGAACGTAGAAGCCGCACAGAAGGCTCTTTTGGTGCGTGCAAAAGCAAACTCCCTTGCTCAACTTGGAAGATACTCTGCTGAGGGTGAAAGTGAGGAAGCCAAGAAAGGAATGTTTGTGAAGGGTTATACCTACTAAAATTTGGGGCATTCCATGCCTTTCAGCTGTGTGACCATTCCTCTTGCTAGCAGTGAATGTTGAGACTTAATTTATTGTACTATTATTTTACTTCTTCCTTCTAGCTAATGAGTTTGAATAAAGCCAACAAGAAAGAAAGGTTTTGGCGTAATTAGGTTTGGGGATCATGAAAACCCACAAGGGACAAGGAAAACATGTGAAAGAAAATATGTGTGTTCATTTTTCCCCCCTTAAAGCTACGTAACTTGTAGTTTTTACCTTCAGCTCTTGAATAGTGGTGGTGGATTGCATATTGGCAAATTTAGGGCATATTTTGATTTAATGTTAGAAACAATCAAAATCACAAGTTCATAGAAGCAGTCCTTTTGTGTAATCCTGCTTTGTTTCGAAAAGATTATGGACATTGACTTTCAAGTCCTATATGCTTTGTTTGGTGAATGGCATAAGTGGGGAATATGCGTTTTTTCTTTCTGTTTTGGCAAGTGGGAATATGCTCTATATTTCACACGGATTCTTTTTTTTCCCCTTTTTCTGGTTAAAACAAGATCCTCACACATGAATTTCAACCCTTTTGAAATCTAGAGAAAGAAAGATGAGATGAGGCGTATTCATAAGAGACTCACATAATGGCATTACTCATATTTCTCTTTTGCCAAATACAAAGACATGTTGCCTTTTTAGCAAAACCAAAAAAAAAAAAAAAACAAAGACATGATGGTTAGACGCATCAGAGATTTTTTTAATCTTATGAAAATCAAAACATAAATTTTTTATATTTTAATGTTAATATTAAACAATAGTTATATTTTTACCTTTTTGAGAGTATAAAAGACATTCATAAAATTGTTATTTTATTTTATTTCATATTGTATCCTATACTAAACACCATCAATCTATAGTATATGAAAAAATTGTCAATAAATCATACTTTTCACAAATTATGACAAAGTAACTTATTTCGTAGAGTGCATGTGATGTACAGGATCCGCATTACTTTGGAGATAAAATTTCAAATGACATTGATTCATATAAATAACTCACAAATGAGACCCCCCCCCTCATGAACTCTTACAGGTTACACTCAAGATACTCATTAAAATAAATTTATATATCTATATCTATATCTATATATATAATACACATTTAACAACTCATTTTTTCTCAGCTCCAAGAAAAAAAACTCATTTTTTCAGACCTAGCAATACGGATCTCAGAATCCATTGGTTTTTGGGCCTTTCTTTCAACTGAGAGTGGCCCTGTATTTATCGGGCCTATATCATTCGGTTCTACATTTATGTTTGGCATTCTTCAATTAGATATGAAAGTCATTTCACGGTAGCTAGTGTTCTAGGATTAACTTCCCCTTGGTTTTTTTATCTTAGTTTTTCTTTCGGGCTTAGCCCTCTTTGTAACCAAAAAGAAGAAGTCATTTTACGTGTACTTCCCTTTTTCTTTTTATTTTTTAAACTAACCCTACATACTTCATAGAAGAGAGAAGGTGCCAAAAGAAATTGGTTGGAATGGTTTGATACTTTGTTCACCTTACTGTAGCGTTCAGTAAGAATTGGTATGTCAAAAATGAAAGGGGCAAAAAAAAAAGGCAAAACAATTCCTCTCAGGGTGTCATGACCACTAAACAAAAAAGAATCTAAAAAAAAAAAAAAAGGGATCCCATGATATTCTCATATGACACCACTTTACATTGTGAAAATTACTATTTAATCCATGTTTCAAAGTCAACCCAACTAGTAGAATATACTGAAGAAAATAAATAAGAATTTTTTTTATTTTTTAAGTTCAATTTAACAGTACACAGCAACGTCTATCCTAAATTTTGAAAGTAAAGAGCTTGATTTGAGGCCAAACTGAAGATAAAAGGACAAATAACCCTAGCTGTATTGTTGCATGTGAATGTAACATTTAATTTTGCAGTGAAACAGCTAAGAAGGTTCATTGACCCTTATATTTAATGCATTTATGTTCCCAAGATAATTTTTTTTAATATCATTAGAAAATTAATAAAAAAATTAAAGAACTAATTTCCCAAATCAAATCCATCTTTTAAAAAATTCAATCTTTTGTTTTTTTCCCTCCCCATTAAATATTCCAAAAATAAACATATTTCTGCCACCCCATCTCCAAATAAAGAAACAACCTTTAATTTCCATACCCCTAGCTAACAACAATTAGAGATGCTGGATCAGAATCTAATGTTTCAAATAATTTTTATCAATTATAATATTTTTTAAAAAAAGTATTAAAAAAATGTTTTTTGCCTCCACTGTTGAAATGAGACATGGATTTTCTTGTCGGAGGACCGTACTTTCAGATTAGGTAAATAATTTAGAAAACAATGGAATCTGACTCATTTGATGAGTTATGAGACAGCCTGGGTAAGGCCATGCATGCTTTGTCTTCTTGGGAAAACATTTGGACCGCATGAAATTTTAAAAAATAATACTATTAATAATAACAAAAATAAAAAATAATAATTACAATAATGACAATAATAATAATATTAATAACTTCAGTTTTTGTTCACGGAGGAAGTTTTGTTATTGTACTTCATGTTTGCTGTGTATATGATGTTTGACATTTTGTCTAGACTTAAAGACTTTATGGTACCTTAATTAATTTTCTTTGGCTTTGTATTAACTAGACATGCCTGTAAGTGAAGCGAAAATGACCTTAAATGCTCCAAATTATGTGTCGATGCGCCTTCATCGTCGTGTGGTAGGGCTGTTGGGGTGCCGGGCCACACCGGACCACCGCCGGGGTCGGAAATTGTGGCCATGGATGAAAGCAGCCATGAGTTTCAAAGGAACAAGATGAGGAAGTGAAAATGGGACAATTTTTCTAAGAGTTTAAAGGAATTCTTTTTGGGTTAAAGGTGTTTAAGTGCTTTTAGTGAAGAAAATGTAATAATTCAGAATTTTGTTTAATATCAGGAGAACATAATAAATAGTTGTGGTCATGTTTGTTGGAATTGAAGGGATAGGAATATATGTTGATGTTGATTAAGTTACTTTGTGAATTAAATTGCCAATTATTGGAGACAAAAGAAAAAAGTTGGGACTCTGTTGTTTCAAGCTTGCAACCATGAGTGGTACATATTATAGTTTTTGAAAGTTGGCTTTTTTGGGGAATAATAATACATAAGTCTCATAAGTGCTATAATTTTATTTTCTTTTAAACTCAAATGATTGCTTAAATTATTATTTTACAAAAATTATATACAAGCTCCTACCACAATTATTATTTACTTTAATTAAATCATGTTCCCATGATCATTAAATTAATTTGAAACTCAAACACCCCAGTTAAGATAAAAAGATGGGTTCTCATATTTTACGTGAAGTTTAACATAATATAAGTCTCATTATGTCTAACTTATAAATAATATAATCCTTTTAAAGATTTTATGCTATGAAATTTATATATTGATACATTTACGATATTTTGATTTGCTTTTTCTTCTTGTTGATGCATAACATGACAATTAGGTATGCTTTATATATTGAGAGTTTGAGAAATAAATCTCAGTCAATTTCAGCATATCAATATTCTACATGTTTTATGTGCATAAAATAATTATTTGTTTAATAAAATAACTATAATAAAGGTAGTAAAAAATATTTAAAAAATTAAGATAAATATTAGCTCAGTTATTAATTTCCTCGCACTTTGATTTATGTATTAAGCATGTAAATCTTGAGTCATTTTGTTTTAATTCCAATAAAAATACAACTCAAAACAAGTATATTATGGGAACAATATACCCTTGCATGGTATTTTCGAATCAAAGACTTTTATCTTTAAAATTTGACCCTTCCAAAAGAAAAGTTAATAAAAGTGAGATGAAGGCCAAGCCCTAATTAGAAGCTCAAAAGAATGACCCTTCCAATAAAGAAAGTTAAGAAGAAGATAAGATGATAGGTATGTGAAGGGCACAAGTCATAAATAATGTTGGTGATCTCCCTTACATATATTGAAATTAATATATGAGTCTGCAAATATTATTAAGTTTGGGAAATACTTATTCACACAAAAAATAAAATAAAAAAATAAATAAAAATGAGTGAGTGCAAATTAAAGGAGAAGAACCCTAAGTGGAGCCACAAATTTTGATGATTCCTCAGACTTTGATGTGCAACAACTCATAAAGATATTCCTTCCACCTTAATCATATTCTTCCTTCTGTGCTTCCTTTTATCCACATATTCTCTCTTTGTATCTTTAAAATTTAATATTAATAAAATTATTTAGAATTTTCAATTTGTACAAATAACTCATCTATCACCCAATTAGCCCATTGTTTTGATAGCAAAATATGACACATTAATAATAATTTCATGCATTTTGCTCAAAATAATAATAATAATGTCATGTAGATAATTACTTCTAAACTTTAGTAAGTATATATATAAATAATTTTCTTAAATTTTATTGGCCAAATAGTGAATTAATTAACAGTAAAAAGCCTGTCTATACAAATTTCAATTATGAACAGTTGATAATAACTTTTAGGGAAAATTTCAGTGAATGACTGCAATAGGCAATTTATATCAGTCAAGGACCAAAACTTTCTGAAATTTCACTGCAGGACCAAGGGACCAAATTGAAATTAAAATTTAGAGTGAAATTACAATAATACCCCTCCCTTTTTATTTTATTAAAAAATAAATATTTACCGGAGTTACTATTCCAGCCACCGGAGATCAGAGGTCCGGCCACCGGCACTCAGGTGGCCGCCGCCGGGAGTCCAGTCACCGGTGGCCGGAATAGTAGCTTCGGTCGGACCTCCGGTGGCCAGAGTTTTTTTTTGTTTAAAACAAAGTGGCCAAGGGAGGGTTTGAATCCATAACCCCTTGGCACACCAAAATATTTGTAACCATCAAGCCAAGCAATCCATTCAATCATAAGATGCAAATAAAACTATATATAACAAAACAAACGCAACTGTCCAAATATAATTGAACAAGTGAAATTAGACGATTTACAAGTTGAATTCAGCATTTGCAACAAAATTAGGTAATTTACAAATAACATAATAGAAGTCATAACCCAAAATGCAAGTATTTAAGTGCAAATGAGCAAGTAAAATTTGAAGATTTACAACAAAATTTTATGGATTTACAACCCAAATTTGGTAAGCACAAGAGAATTCACAACCCAAAATGTAAGTGTTTGAGTATAAGTGAACAAGTGAAATTAGACGATTTACAAGTGGAATTCAGCAATTTACAACAAAAATTAGGCAATTTACAAATAACATAATAGAAGTCATAACCCCAAATGCAAGTGTTTAAGTGCAAATGAGCAAGTGAAATTGTCGAATTTCACTTGCAAATCTATAAAATTTTGTTGTAAATTTTCAAATTTCATTTGCTCATTTACACTTAAACACTTGTATTTGGGAT